TTTAAGTGTTTCGAAAGAGTTTATACAGTCTGCGTTGAAATTGAAAGGGATGTCTTTTTGTAAAAGTCTTGTCAAGGGTTTTGAAGTCTTTGCGAAATTTGGGATGAATCGCCTATAGTAGCCGGAAAGGCCAAGGAAAGATTTGATGTCTTTCGGATTTTTGGGTTGAGGAAAATTTCTTATACACTCGACTTTAGAGGGGTTTGGCTTCACACCATCTTGGGTGATGAGATGTCCTAAATATGCAACTTCCTTGCGAAGGAACTCACATTTGTCGGGTTGTATTTTTAGGTTTGCTTTCCGTAAACGTTTGAACACTTCTGTGATTCGGGCGATATGTTCATGAATAGTAGGGGAATAGACGATAATATCGTCCATATAGACAAGGCAACGTTCATTCTGAATTCCCATTAAGATGTTGTCCATTACGCGTTGAAAGGTGGAAGGGGCGTTCTTCAATCCAAATGGCATACGAACGAATTCATAATGCCCATTTTCCACAGAAAATGCGGTTTTCTGGATATCTTTGGGATCAATCTCAATTTGGTGGAATCCGGAAGCCAAATCGAGGGTGGTGAAATATTGGCACTTGCCTAATTGGTCGAGAAGATCGGAGATGTTCGGAAGTGGGTACTTGTCGTCGATAGTCACTTCATTCAGTTTTCGGTAGTCGATGACTACTCGCCACTTCTGTTTACCAGAAGCATCAAGCTTCTTTGGTACGACCCAAACGGGGGATGACCATGGTGAAACTGAAGGCTGAATGATACCTTGATTGAGCATTTTCGATATTTGTGTCTTTACCTCTTCTTTATGTACTTGAGGGTACCGATAAGATTTGGTAAATGTAGGTCTACTGTCTTTTGTATCGATAGGGTGTTTAATTTCGTTTGTGAACGTCAGGTTGTCACCTTCAAGATAGAAAATGTCCGCGAAATCTAAACAAAGTTCTGTTATGAGATTTTGTTCTTCTTCGTTGAGATGGTCGAGACGTAGTTGATTTTTGATTTCGAATTGTCGGTCAATTGGTACATCTGTATCTGGTACTTGCATAGCCAAGTTATTTACTGAGAAATCCTGAAATGGTTCTAACACAAGATCGGAAAAATCTACTGTTTTTGGAATAGCATTAACGTTCAAAACCGAAGTTAGAAATTCTCCATTTTCGTCAATTTTGACAATTGAATTTGGTATTTTGACTTTTTCGATTTCCTGACCTATCAGTATAGCGTCGGTATTTAAAAAGTTGCATTTCAACTTGAACACTTGTTCGGTTCGAGGTTCGATATTTATTTTATTATGATATTCTCTAGAGGGTGGTGTATCAACTGAAGGTTGAGTATTTTCGTCGTCGGTTACTTTAAAAAGAGGGACAGTTTTGAAATCAGTAATCAGTTTTTTATTTTTGAGGTCTACTATGCAATTATAATGTTCTAGAAAATCAGAGCCAAGGAGTCCGTCAAATTCTATATCTAAGTTGTGAATGTAAATTTTATGTGGGTCTTCAGGTTTGAATGGAATTAAAGTTGATTCGTTTATAATTATTTTCTGGTCGGTTATGCCTTGAATGGAAATATTTTCCGGAGAACGTTTTCGGTATTTTTCGCAAGTCTTTGGTTTAAAAATCGAAAGTCCTGCACCAGTATCTATTAGAATTTTGAAGGTATTAGTGATGTCTTTGATGTAATATAAGTTTTTCGAATTAACAGGCAATAGAGGTTTTAAATGAACCGTTGTTCCGGGAAATTCACATTCGGATCGAAACTGTCTAGGTTCATTGTTTGTATTTGGGCTTGAAGTTCGTCCATAGTATTCTGTTGTGGTTGGTTCGGTGGGTCGCCAGGATTCAGCCCTGACTGAAAATCCTGAATATCCGAATTTTGGGGTAGATTGTCATAGTCCGGGTACTGTGTCGAAAATTGATCATATTCAAATTGTCTTTCAGTGGTATGATAATCGAATTGTTGGATTCTGCTATCAGCAGTATGATAGACTTGATCGTAATTTTGATTTTCACTAGCTGTATAGTGATCATCTTGATAAAAATCATTCTCATAATATTGGTCATATTGTTGATAATTCAAATGGTGTGTCTGTTGATTATTTGGTCTGTTAAAATTTGGATTCGATTGAATGGTAGGTTGTCTTTGATTGTTGAAGTTCGGGTTAGGTCTTATGATTGATGGTCGGTTTTGTTGAAATTGATTGGGTGGTTGATATTGATCGAATTGAGGAGGTCGCTGTACTGGATTTGGGGTTTGAAATGGTCTTGAAGGCCCAGCTTGATTGAAATTTTGTTGGTTTGGTCTTGGAGGGTATTGTGGTCTATTTTGGGAATTCTGTTTTGCGCGGCATTCATGAATCAAATGTCCGGTACGTCCACAATATGAACATTGTTTTATTTGTTGAGATGAAATCGGTTTCCGAACAGAAACTGCATTCGGATTCCGATAGCTTTGTGAGTTAGGCAATTTTTGATTTTCGAAATAACTCAACTGCATTTCTCGTCTGATACGAGTAATTGCGGTTAACATATCGGTTGGGGTGCCTGCTCGAATTATTTGACCAAGTTTTGGATCTAATCCAGTCAACAGGGTGTTCAAACTCATAGTTTCTATAAGCCTGGACTGCGCGCCTCTTTGGTCTGGTGGTAAAATTTGTTTATTTACAGCGGCGTGCATTTTGGCATTATGCGTTTGCAATCGTTGAACGAATGTCATTGCATTTTCGCCGGGAAGTTGACGAAGTCTTTGGAGATCTTGAATTAATGAAGTCAAGTCTCTGGAATCGCCAAAGTGGGTATCTAAAAGATGTCTAACTTCTTCCCAAGTAAGTGGGTTTCTCGAATTCACTAGCTCTGCAGCACGTCCACGTAATTTATTTTTTATGTGAAGTGTTACTAGTAGTCGTTGTTCGTCGACTGCCATTCTGTAAGCGGTATTACAGGCTTGTAAAAAGGTGGTTAAAAATATTGGATTGCCATCATATTCCGGTATGATGGAAAATATTTCATTGAGTCTGTATGGCTCAATTTCTGCAGGTGCTCGTGGTGGTGCCACGTTTACGTTATCGTCATTCATTGCAATTGGTTTTTTGTTGAAATGTGACAAAAAGGGGAAACAATTGGATGATGGAACAGTTACTTGGTTGTTTCAAATTTGAAATGCGGTACGATTCAATATAGTACTTACAGGATCAGTATCATTGAGTTCGTCGTGTTCTCGTCGATTCTGCCAGGGGCTTCACCAGGTGTTCCTTCCACAGCTCTTCGAGTGATGACTCCCTCAGGTTGGTTCTTTGATTTCGGCAAAGGATTGGGATCCACCGTCACTAGTTAGGTCGTTTCCGTGTTCTAGCAACGTCACGAAATCCGTACGACTGCGCCAATTTGTTATCTCGTGGTTTTCGAAATAGACTTTTTAAAAACAATTTTATTTATTCCGGCATAGATTAAGTTTATACAATGAGCTTTATTTCAAGACTGACTTTTTGATACAATATAAAATGAATTTATATTAAAAATAATGCTGATGCCAGCGTCAGCAGATATTATATTCCATTTCTGCGGATGCTGACTTCAAGGTCAAGATCATGTTCTGAGGAATTGTTATCGCTGGTAAGTTGATACTACTGAGAACAATGGGAACTGATTTTAGCATATAACAGGGATGATGCTTGAGAGGTTTTATGCCAGACATCACGGGCACAGAGCAAGCATGCTCTATAGATGGATGCTGCATCTTAGACAATATATGCAGCATAAGAAATAAAATTACTGAAACACAAATTTTACAGCAGAATAAAATGATCATTTCTACAGATCTAGACCATGCATGCCTCAAAATAAGCCATACATATATTATTTCAGTTATGAAACATATGGGGGTCAGTCAACAATTGTTATTATCAATTGAGCAAATATTCACTGACATCTACTGGAGCCTGAAAATATAAAAAAAAGTCATCTCAGGGTTTCCTTCAGATAGCTATAACCCTTCAGGGGGGCATTTTTGGGCCCAGGTTTATATGAACTTTTTTACTATTTTTGTTCCTAGAATCAATGGTTGAAATCTTTCTATGTAATTCCAGGATGCCCTTTTGTTGGCAACCCAAAAGTAAAAAATACTATGAGCTATGTCCAGATGGCTCTGTATTCAAAATATAGGGTGTGAGACTGTTAGAGTACAAAAAATCAATTGATTCATTCTAATACAAAGTTAGTTTTCAACACCCTATATCCCAATAATGAAAATTAGGACAGAAATCACATGTTCACAATAATTAATAAATAAATAAAGTAAATTTGGATAACTTATCAGGTGGATAATACAGTGATAAGTTTTAGAGAAAAATATCAAGAAGCAAATGGTACATTTTTTAATGTTATATTTTTTCAAAGTATACTTTTTGGTCATCGTTTTACATATTATGACAAAAAACAATTGAACAGTGAAGAGAACTGGAGTAAACAGTCAACTTAAATTGTTCAAGAGAAGTGTTTTTAGCAGGAGTTTGCTCTTGAAAGAACAGTTAAGACACTTTGTATAAATACAGGTACATTTTCCAGTTCAATAACTGAGTGAGTTCAAAAATTTTTTGATGAGTTTTCCATTGTCTACAACATATCTTTGATAGTGGTGTGATTTCTTCACATATTTTATTCAGTTACTGAATGGTTCAAGTTTTATTTGAAATGCCAAATCGTGGTACCTTCAAGACCAAAACAAACCTTCATCTGATGATTGAAATTTGCTATGATAATTCACATTTTTCAATTATTTCAAGAAAAATGATTTTCTTTTTTTTTGAAGTGATGGAGTGATGAAGTGATTTTGTGACATCCATTGTCTCACACCTAATACAAACTCCCATTGTACTTTAGTAGGGAATCAACATACTCAAAATGACATCAATAATACATACTTTTGGATCTTCATAGGAATTGAAAAAAAAAACAAAGTAAAACAACAACATAATCCATTGGATTTTATTTAGCATACCTTCAACATCCTTGAGCATAGAATCTGATCTGGATCCCTCAATAATTTCATTAGCTGTTTCAAGTTCCTTTTTCAACAATTCAATGCACTCAGTTTTCTTTTGAATTATTTCTTCATGTGCCAATTCAGCTTCTTTGTGCTTAGTTTCCAGGTCACCATATTGTTCAGTTGCAGTTTTCAATAATTGTTGAACCTGAAAAAAATCAGGGAGCATTATTGTAAAACATGCAAACATGAGTTAACTCATTCACCTCAGACAAAGCTTCTTTGAGTTCATCAGAATGTTGTTGACTTTCTTCATACATAGCTTGATAAGCATTTGCCATCTTTGTTTTAGCTTCTATTTCATACACATAAGACTCATTCATTTTAGCATCTATTTCACGTTGGCCAAGCATTTTCTGGGCAAGTTCTTCATTTCTAGTAACTAAGTTGTTGTTCAAATCAGTAAGAGATTTAACCTGTTCAACAGCAACCACTAACTCTTGTGTTTTTTCTGTTAGTTTAGTTTCAAGTTGAATGCATCTGGAGGTGTTATCTCGTCTCATATTCAACAATTCTTCTGTTCTCTGATTGAGTTCCTCAGTCAAACTTTGAACCTGACTGCTAAGAAGAGCACGTTCTTGTTCCATCCTTTTTTCTCTATATTCCAGAGTGATTTTCATAGATGCAACTTCATCAGCTTGAGAAAGAGCTTCACATTTTGCATTCACAGCAGATTCTAGTTGTTTGGTTAAGCTATTGATATCAGTCTGTAGTCTTTCTATTTCTGCATTACGACGCTGAAGCATTCTGAGATGTTCATCTCTTTCATCCACAGCTAGATTCCGCTGGTGACGGTAATCTGCAGTTTCAGCTTCTAGAGCATTGCACCTAGTGTGGAATTTGTTTATTTCTGCAGTTAAAGTAGAAAGTTGAGATTCCTGCTCTTCAATGGTTTTAGTGGCCACTTCTAATCTAGACTTGAGTAACTCACTTTCAGCTTGCCCATTTTCATTCTCGGTTTCATGTACTGTTTTGTTTTGTTCTAATTAAGAGGAAGGTATTTCAGTATCATTTGATGAATATGTAGGTTAGGTACTTACCCAAGTTGAAACATTTCGTTTCCAATAGTGCTTTAGAAGTAATGAATTCTTCGAATTTCTCACTAACAAATTTGGAAATTTTTTCTCCTATTCCGGCAGGCACCTTCTGCCATTCATCTTCACTAACTACAGGGGAAAAAACGAAAGAGCCCTCCATTTTCAAAACTTGGATAGGGTCCATATATTGAAGGAAAAATAATAATCAACAATGTCAACACATTTCACTTCACTTCTTGAACAATATTCTAACTATACAATAGGAATGTGGTGGGTTTAGAATTACATATAATACAAGATGATCCAAACTATACAAACATCTTTCTACGATGCAGCCGGCAGCGGTATGAATATGAATATGAAATGAATGGAACAAAAACTGAAAACCAAATTGATCAACTGAAAAACGCCAACATGCCGGCTTGCAAAAATAAAGTTGAAGTCAGTGTTGCCGTTCCGCGTTCCGGCGTTCCGCTTTCCGATTCAGAATTTCAATTTGTACTAAAAGTAATTCCGAAATTGTACTGAATACAAGTAAATTGTACTAAATTGAAAAAATAAAACTTTATGGGTTGCGTGCAAGAACTGTCAGATGACCGACGCTGGAGGCAAAACATTGAAACACAACGTCACTTTTCTTATTTGTTTACAAGTGATCGAAATAGTTTTCCACAATTATTTTGGCATATGAATCGTATTTTTCCGCTATTCATCAATTCGCTCATGCCATCACATTGTGCTGTTGTAAAATGCACAAAAACTGCAGCGGAAGATGAAGGAATCCGTATGGTACATTATGATTTAAAAGTAAGTACCTACTATAGTCACTCACATATGGTTTTCATTTTTGAAATTTGGATATTTCTCTAGAATAATGCAAGAAGATTGGATGCATGCAATCAATCGGGAGGACTGGTCTGACATGCTGACGATCGTGTGTGTTGTAGACATTTTCAATCTATTAGCAGTATTAGCTTGTATTGCAGAAGTGGCAGAAGGCAGAAGGAATTTTAATAAGGCATGACAAATGACAACATTTCATGATGATAACTATGTGAGATTACTATTTATCTGAAAAATCATATTCCCTCTAGTCTCTTGCTGCACTTTTTTGTGCATTGTACAGCAGCACAATGCGAAGGCATTCTTGAATTAATGAATAACGCAAGAAACACGATTCGTATGCCAAAATATTGTGAAAAACTATTTCAACCTTTTGATTCTTCTGTAAACAAATGAAAAAGTGGATGTTGTGTTTCAATAATTCACAGAAGAGTGAGGTTGTGTTTCAATATTCCGCCTCCTTTCACACATTTGATGAAAATCTCAATACCATATACAGGCTGATTCACGGTGGATGGCACGTTAGACGTTTATGGAGAACGGGACATAGGATCATCCTGAAATTTTGGTTACTCACGTAGTTGCTCTTGGTCTATCGATCTAAAATATTTTCAGCTCTGCAGCGTTGCCGCTTCTATCGAAAAGTAGCAACAACTTTGTTATTTCAAATGGAACACCCTGTATTTTATTGCATTTTCAGATTCTCTCTCAAGAGCTGATTTCATCGATGTATCACACTTGGGGTCTAGCGGAAATGATTACAGAGATATAGGGTGTGAAAAATCGACATTTTTCAACTTGAGGAATTTTTTTTGTCGAAACTATTCATTATTGGTCAAAACGGCTCACATGTCCCTATCTCAACTTTTGATCAACTATCTACTGACATTTAATTGAAATAAATACAGGGTCGTGCAGAATTCAGAATCTTGATCACCCGGTATATGTCCCAATTAAATATCAGTAGATAGTTGGTCAGAAGTTGAGATAGGAACATGTGAGCCGTTTTGACCAATAATGAATAGTTTCGACAAAAAAAATTCCTAAAGTTGAAAAATGACGATTTTTCACACCCTATATATCTGTAATCATTTCCGCTAGACCCCAAGTGTGATACATCGATGAAATCAGCTCTTCAGAGAGAATCTGGAAATGCAATAAAATACAGGGTGTTCCATTTGAAATAACAAAGTTGTTGCTACTTTTCGATAGAAGCGGTAACGCCGCAGAGCTGAAAATATTTTAGATCGATAGACCAAGAGCAACTACGTGGGTTACCAAAATTTCAGAATGGTCCTATGTCCCGTTCTCCATAAAAGTCTAACGTGCCATCCACCGTGAATCAGCCTGTATACAATGTGTATCTGAATAACACCGAAAAAATTCAAGGGCCGATTCCTTGTGATATTTTAGGAAATAAAGTTCATATGGACATGTGTCCTAACTTGCTTCGTTTTCGAGATACAGGGTATCAATATTTCCATGAAAAATCGTTTTTTATTTAATTACTCAATTGTCTTTCCATCAATTTCAATAAAACGTTGTGGTTTTGTCAATAGTAATATGGAGCTTCTTCTGGTGAAATTAGATTCGGAATAATATTTCCAGTGGCGTCACAGTGAAAAAATTTATCGATATTTATAGTGAATGTCATTGTACTCCATGGGTTCTACTGAGTTTCATATTTTTATTGGATTGAACTATTGAAATAACAACTTTTTGATCCTTTGTGTAATTTTTGTATCTAGCTTATTTTTTGAGAATACAATAAAAAATCGATTTGACTCCAAATTTTACTGTAGGTGTTTTCAAGACTACCATTGAGATTACTCATTAACCCCAATCACAATCATTTTGAAATTTTAGGGCTTTCTCAGTCTCCAACTATACTGAATTTTGGCACCATGAAAGCTTATACAGGGAGGTTATAAATAAAAACAATTAATACTTCCAACTTCAACATCCTGTATATCAAAAACGGAGCAAGTTAGGATACATGTTTATATGAACTTTATTTGCTAGAATATCACAAGGAATCACCCCTTGAATTTTTTCGGTATTATTTAGATACACCCTGTATTCTATTTCTATATACGGTCCATCGCCTATACGATATGGGACCAAAGTGAGAGGTACTTTTTGAATCTACAAGGACGGGAAGTGAAGGATGGAACGTTTGAAACGTTTCGTATTATTTTTTCCCTACGTCGGCATCAACGCCTATTGGTCGATTTCGGTACCTATGGAGACAGAAGTTGGTCCCGCCAGAGATAAGTTACCCACTGTTTATATCAAGGAGGAGGCTAAATATCTAGTTCAGATTAGGGTCCCTTGATGGAAATTGACGTTAAAGTCATCTTAACAGGGTACGGACAGATCATAGCTGCATTCTTTTTTAATGATCTAGAGACTTTAGTTTTGTCTACTGGCATCCCTGACATTGCTGTCACGTCACATCCATGGGCGCTACAGAAAATCATTCAAAATTTCAATAATAGGTATGTACAGTGTGTCCAGTTTTCGATGCTTTTGCCTGATATCTCAGTTATCTTTGGAGATAGAACCTTGCGGTTTTCGCGGTCCTGTGCCATTTTTTTGTGAAACTCAAGATGGCCAAATCAGATTTTGCAAGACTGTTTCCGTTTATGAGATACAGGGCGATTTTGAAAATTTATACTTTTTGGACCCCCTCTATATCCACGAAGTTTCTCAACAAAAATGTCAAATCAAAATCTTATCGCATAGAGAATTTCACGCATAATCCAGTGGCGCACTTAAATCTTTTATTCGGGGTATGGTTTTGGAGATACGACTAAAACTTATGATTTTTTAAATGGAACACCCTGTATTTCATAAGCTCATTGAATTCCTTATTTTTTCGTCTCCAAAATGATATATAACGAATGAATATGAAATTCTCAAAATTGCTCAAAATTACTAAAATATTGAATTTTGATAGTTGGTTATGGATTTTTCTTATGAAAAACGTTCCAATTGAAGAAATATTTCTTTAAATTTTTCCATGGAGAGGTCAAAACCAATATCAACACTTATTAATTAACAAAACACTGAACTTGGGTACCTGATAGCAACAAATAATTAGTAATAAAAAGTTCATAATGTAGAATAAGCACCTGATCAAATATTTACTAAAATAATTTAATTCCGGAATTCTTCAGTAACTTATTCATTGACATGTTCAAATTGATATCCATTTTCCGCAACACACAGTTGACAAACTTTCTCAATACTTCTCAATACAGTGAGTGGCCCAACATACTTGAAGAACTTTGTACAACAACAGAGGCAGTTTTCCAGGAATTACAAAGACATCTGTCAATGATTAATATGTATTGAGAAATTTTTTTGATGAAAAATGGACATCAATTTGGACAATTCAATGAATAAATCACTGAATAATTCCGAAATTCAATTGTTTTAGTAAATATTCAATCAGGTGCTTATTCCACATTATAAACTTTTCATTACCATATATTTGTGGATATCAGGTATTTGAGTCTTGTGTATTGCAAGTTGATTAGTGTTCAAATTGTTATTTTCCCCTTCATGGAACAATCAAAAGAAATATTCCTTCGATTGTAAATTTCTTTATATGAAAATCCCTCGAAAAACCCATAGCCCACTATTAAAATTCAATGTTTTAGTGATTTTTTAACATTTCTGAAGATGTAATATTCATACATCATATATCATTTTGAAGGGAAAAAAATAAGGAATTTGATGAGCCTATAAAATACATGGTGTTCAATTTGAAAAATCATAAGTTTGAGTCGTATTTTCAAAACCACACCCCGAAAAAAAAAATTTTGTGCGCCACTGAAATCTGCATAAAGTTCTCTATGAGTTGGAATTTAAATTTGACATTTTCGCTGATAAACTTCGTAGATATAGAGGGGGTCCAAAAAGTATAAATTTTCAAAATCGCCCTGTATCTCATAAACGAAAACAGTCCTGCAAAATTTGATTAGGCCATCTTGAGTTTCACGAAAAATTGGCACAGGGCCGCGAAAACCGCAAGGTTATATCTCAAAAGATAACTGAGATATCATGCAAAAGCATCGAAAACTGGACACACTGTACAGGGTATTTACTTGTTGAGGAAGATCATATGGCAAACGAGTTTTGTAGTTATGATCCGATTCTATTCAAAGTTGGAAGGTATTTGGGGTTTTCCGGGGTTGAAGATAATGATTGTTTCGTCAAACTTGGCAAATTCAAGATGACGGATCCAATATATAGCGAAAGAAATTTCTAATTAGGATCGGATTCTATTCAAGATTGGTATCTATGGGGGTTTTCGGGGTCAAAGTTCATGAGTTTTTGTCAAAATTAGAAAATTCAAGATAGAGGATCCAATATGCCGAACGAATTTTGTAATTATTATCCGATTCTATACAAAAATCAAAATTGGTATCTGGGGATTTCCGGGTTCGGAGATTATAATAATTTCGTCAAAATTGGGATATTAAAGATGGTGGATCCAATATGGTGGACGAGTTTCGTAATGAAGATCCGATTCTATTCAAAATTGGTATCTGGGGGTTTTTGGGGTAGGAGATAATGATTG